CGAGTATTAAATACTCATCATTAGTGTTCTTGGAAATAATTCTCGTATTTAATTATTCGTATATATTTGAATTATTCGTTATATTTGTCCATATACCTAATTCACATATTGACATTTATCCATTATCAGAGCCTAGTCATAGTCAAAAAGTGAAAACAAGAAAGATTTCTACTAATACGGTAGAGTTTATCTGCCTGGTGGGTTCCTCAATACTGGCATGGTTCCACAAAAGCATGTTGTCTAATAAAATTGCCGACGTTAGAACTCTAACGAAAATGATTATATATCATGTGGTATATGATATATAACTGTGTTCTAAATTTAATTAAAAAACCGCCTGAGAGGTTTCATTACAACCGGCATTGTTTTTAATCGTGATATAGGGCTTCATTATTGATTTTCTAGCAATTTAGGTATAATAAAAAATTGTGTATTACAATTAAATAATTTATTTTTAATTAAAAACGTTTATGAAAGTGCTCGTGCAACTAAGCCATAAAAAAAAGTTTCTTGTACCCAGCAAAAGTGGATTGCTTCTTGAAATTCTGTATGCCAGTACTTCATGCTACTCATGGAACATGACGACAGTGAGAGCACCAACTGTTTAAAAAACTTAATTACTTAATTAATTAATATTAAATAATATTTTGAAGTAGAAAAAAATAAAAAAATATTTTGCGAATTTCATAAATTGATTTTAAAATTGGATTTTAACATTGCTTTTGTAGTTAAGTTAGTGATACTTTTGAAATGATGGTTTTGTTGGATATATGTATTATCACGAACAAGCATGAGTATTAAAATTTTGTTAAATTTAACCTGACGACAACCAGAATAGTGTTTACATTGCTGTACTAGGTGATCCAATTTTTCTTATCAATTGAACAGAGTATGGTACTAATTAAAATTTTATGTAGAGCCCTGAACAATTTCAGCAAAATATAATATCACAAAATCACAAAAATTTTAAATATTTCTCATTTGTTTTATATGTAAAATGTAAACAAACAAGCTATTTTACATCCATAAATCAGCTTATGCCAATGGGAACAACCAAATCTTAATTTCATTAACATAAGTAGTTTTAGTTGCAGTGGAAACATTAGATAAATATTACTACATATCATATATGGTAGATAGTGCAATATCGGCAGTGAATGATGTGTAATAGCAAGCGACGTCGCATCAAGTATGATGTGTAAAAGCCAGTTTTCCAAAAGCGAAATTAGAGGATAAGGCGTTGACATACTCATATGATAGAAACAGTTATTTCTTATTAGCTTGACCGCTTTAGTTTCCCAATCAATTTTCGCTTACATTCAAACTGCTACTCTACCATTTTAAGATTAATAATTGGTTAATAGAATGAATAGTTTTTATTTTAGCTAGCACGTACCTATGTGTGACCATAGTAGAGCTGGTATTTTTATGGAAAAATGATTAAAACACAACTTCATTTGGTCATTCTCTTAGGTCTACTTACTTTAATTTTTATAAACAGTATTTTATAAACAGTAATAATCTGTTTTCCACTTTACAATAACTAAAATCCAGTTCATGGTATTATTTCTAACTTCAGAAGGGAAGTTTTACTATTAGCAAAGGCATTAAATTTCTGTTCACTCTATGTAGGACTAATAATTAATCTCATATTTAAATTACTTAGTTAATAATTGACTATCAAATTACAATCAAAAGTCTTCTTAAAATCTTTTTATGAGACAATGATTTATACGATTTAAAGTCCATTTTCCATTTAAAGTCCACAAAATAATTTAAAGTGGGATTTAAAGGAGCTTTATAAATATATTCCCCTTTAACAATGGCCAATATATCTCTCCCACTAATTTGGCTTAAGTGCAATCTATGGTACCACGGGAAGGTGAATTGTATGACAAATTAAATAAGCTACGCAATTATGTGAATTTAAATTTTTGCATTTTTATTAACCTATAGTGAAAAAAACTATATCGTCATATGTCAGTTTTTGATATTACAATAATTATGCCCATTGAAATGTTAACAACTAGAGATATTATTTTCTTAACTTTCATGTATTTAATAGTCGTAAATATTAACATTGAACAAATGTGTCAGGTATTATTTTACAGTATGTCGGAAAAAGTCAAAAAAAAAATTGGCTATAAATGCCCATACCAGATATCAAATTCTTTGATGTCCTTTGACACAAGGAAATTAATACGTTGACATTAATTGACGTTGCGGTAATGAGGAAATTTTAAATTATAAAGGAAATCAGTTGCATTTTTAGCTCCAAAGTTTAAGTAAAATTATATGAAATTCATTTACAGGAAATTAATTAATACAAAAATTTGATTAAAAGTTAATGATAAGCAAAAGTTATATTATTGTATTATTTAAAACTAATTTAAACATTTTTTTTTATTTAAATTAGTAAATTTTTGATACGAAATATAATTATTGACTGTAATGATTATTGTAGTTGGATAGAAGTAGAGAAATAGGTCCAATTATTATTATTACGCTGGAGTTTAATATGTGTGATACGCGATTAATTAATTTTTTAAATAATTTTTTAGTACATATATTACTTCTAAAAAATATTGCAATTTTTCAAAGTATATTTTACTTGTCAAAATGATTTAGTAATTTTTAGTGAAATCGAATTTAGTGATAATCATAATTAAATTATAAATAAAATCTTTTTTTATTCACAATATAAAATAACAATTTAAAAATAATTATTTCAAAATGAAGTAGTATTAATACGGTATATATAAATATATATATTCGACTTGGGTCCTTTTGCCTTCTTCGATTCTCGAATGTCGTTGTTGAGTTGTTATTGGAAGCAGCTCATTTTGCTTGAGGTTGCCTGTCAAGTCATCACCAACCCAATGATGTCCCAAGATAGTCATCCTTTTGCTTGCCAGTACTGGACATTGGCACAATATATGTACCGCTGTCTCCTTTTCCTATAGGCATAGTATGCAAGTGCCTTCCTCAACAAGAGTTATATTTTTGAGTTGATACTTGAAGTTTCCATGTCGAGTAATCAATAAGGTCGCTTCCCTGGCCAACGATTTCAGTATCATGAGTTTAGTCTGTCTACAAGTGTTCATCTCTCCATCTGTTAAGATGAAATAAAGTTATCCATTTATTGATTTTAACTGCAATCATGTTGTGGTCCAAAGGTAATTCTTGTTTGGCAAATTCAGCGACCTTTTCGTTTTTCTCAATACCGATATATACTTTAACTCACATGACTATTAGCTCATTTCCATGAGCTTCGTGACACATTCTTGTACTAAGCTATTGACTATGCGTATTAGTACTAAAACGTAGACAATATAAATTGTTGGAACTATTTATAAATTATTTAATCACATATCTTTAAAATGCGTTTGATCTTAAGTCTCGACCAGCTTTAAAAGAGCTGAAGATATAGGTAATTAAAAATTAATTCAAAATGCAAAATGTTCGAAACCTCATAGGCTATAAACTATAACTACAAAAAAAATTACAAATTTTTCACAAATTTTTTTGAAATATTTTTTTGTACATATTTTTATTATATTCATATAGAAGCTTATAAAAAATTATTTCAATCAACTAGAAGGGGATGAAGTAAAAAATTCTCCAGTTTGTAAAAATAAGAATCAATATACGAGTAGCTTTGGCTCATTTTTATATGATATTTCCATTTCTTTAGTAGTAGTCTTTAGTAGTTTAGTAGTAGTAAATTTCACTTTTTGTACAATTTTTAAAATAGACTATCATTAAATTTTTATATTTTTATATATAAATATATACACACTTTTTTCCTACATAAAAATTGTCAATTCTTTAAAATGTTTTGACTTTTTCATCAGGGTAGAACCATCATTAAATTAATTCTGTTCATAATTAATACTAGAATTCATAATCCAACATCACTCAAAAAGTCTCTAGTAGTCTACATGTTAATGTCAAAAGCACTGCTATCTCTATAAAGACTACAATCACGAGATTCAAAGACTTGGACGAGATACAATTTAATAAGTGTTCTCTTTAAATGTGATCTTGTGTTACTCAGATTAATTTATAAAAACGTGTTTTAAAATTCAATATATATTTCTAAAGAAATATATGGTGTATTCTTTTGACACGCATACTCCAATAGAACACAGTTTGCATCCGTATATTTTGCAGTGCCCTGATAGGATGCCTGTGATGATTCTTTTGTTAGGTTCATACAATCCTGATATCTCTTATTGTTATAGATACCAGTAAGTGATTTAGATTGCTTTTAGTTTGGTATATTATCTCAGTATTCCTTCTTATTCTGATTCTCCTTTATTTTTATTAGAGAAAGTAGCGTACTATGCCCTTGTTCATAAAAAGGTTTAGGCCCCATTATCAGTGTGGCTAATATAATATTAATAACATTTAATATTATATTTCTAATACTTAACTTAATGTGTATATCTTTATTTAAAATCATATTATTTTAAACACGTCTTAAAGCTATATGCTAGGAAGATTCAATTTTTTTAATGGTAGATAAAACAGCAGTTCAATAAACTACACAGTCATAGAACAGATCAGGCTCAATAGAAATTGATAATAATAGTAATTAGAAAATAATAATTATATTATTACTATTTACTGTTAATATTACTATTTACTAATATTATTATTAGTAAATAGTAATAGTAAATAGTAAATAGCATTAGTACGCCAAGTACTCGTGTGATCTTCTATGTTGTTTTGACCTTTCTATGTAATATATAATTGTCTATAATATTTATCTGATATCTTATTTAAGAACTATAAAAATGTAGTTGTTGTATGAAATTATAAAATATTCAATTAATCTTAATTTAATTTAAAAATTTTATTTTTTATACAATTTTTTTTTTTTTTTGATTTTATTTATATAAAATATACACGAATTTTTATTCTATAAACTTATGTAAGAAAAAAAAATAATCTACAAAATTTAATAAAAAATTTATTTCTTAAAATATCAAACTTAGATGCAGAAGCTCGCTCTTTTGTCACGGCAATCGAAGAAACTGAAAGTAAGGATGGTGCCGATGCGGCAGGCAAAGATGAAGCAGCCCAACCTAAGGATGCAGAAGAAGCTTCCTAAATTAAACATTTTTTAAAATTAAATAGAACTGAAAACACATTTAAATTTTTACATAATTTTATCATTTAAATTAATTCTTATAATATTTACAATAAATCACTCTTGATTAAACAATGTAATACATCTTCATATATATGTATATTATGACAACATTTTACTTTTAAAATGTTAAGCGTAAAAATAACAGCCAATAATTAAGATTTAAACCAAAACTAAAATCAAGAAAACAGAAATTCACATATAAATGACAACTGAAGCATTTGTTTTGTAATTTAAATTTTCTTATTTCTCACTTTTTTTAAATCAATTAAATTAATAATTCAAAAAAAAAAAAAATAAAAAAAAATTAAAAATCATATTTCATATTTTATTTACCTATAGCAAAATAAAAATAAAAACTCAAAATCATAAATACAATATATTTATGTCAAAAACTTAATGCAAAAAGCAAAAATAATCAAAGTAAAAATTTTATTAAAAAAAGATCAGCTTCAAAATGAATTACGCAAAAAACATAAATGTTATTTATATAAAATTTATATATGGAAATAATATAAATATGGCTAAAGAAAATTAAATATTTAAAAAACAAATTTTTACAAATAATTTTAAAAATTTAATATTTTAAAAATTGCTTGAAGGCGTTTTTTTTTTAAGTGTTCATTTTTGTAAAGAATTTTTAAAAATTTTTTACAAACAGCGTGAAGTCATTTTTTTTAATTTTTACAAATAATTTTAAAAATGAAATGTTTTAAAAATTGCTTAAAGGCGTTTTTTTTTTAACTCTTCATTTTGGCATATAATTTTTAAAATAAAAATCATTATTTGCTAATAATGCTTTAAAGCAATTTTTTAAAAAATTTTTTATTTATACAAATACATTTTTTTTAATTAATTAAATTTTTTAAATAAAACGCACGTAAAAAACATTTTTTTAAATTTTTATAGAAATTGTTTTTAATTTTTTTATTTTTGCAAAAAATTTTAAGAATAAAATTTTTTTAAAATTACTTGAAGGCATTTTGTTCATAGCTTTTCATTTTTGCAAATAATTTTTAAAATAAAAAAAAAGCATTTGTTTTTAATTTTTTTATTTTTGCAAAAAATTTTAAGAATAAAATTTTTTTAAAATTACTTGAAGGCATTTTGTTCAGAGCTTTTCATTTTTGCAAATAATTTTTAAAATAAAAATTATTATTTGCTTATAATGCTTTAAAGCAATTTTTTAAAAAATTTTTTATTTATACAAATACATTTTTTTTAATAAATCAAATTTTCTAAATAAAACGAAAATAAAAAAAAACACTTGAAAAATATACTTGAAAGATTTATTTTTTATTTATAACAAAAAAGAAATTTTTAATTTAAAATACACAAGGAAAATTGTTACATATTTAAAAAAAATATTTATATATATATGTATACATTTTTCTAGAATGAAAAAAAAAAAATATACATATTTACATTCGCATAATTAAAAGAAAATTAAAAATAAATATATTTAGCATGAATGAAGTAGCAAAAGATTAGAGAGAAGTGAGTATGTATTGTTAAAAACTAGAGAAAAATATTAGAATTTTATTAAAAACCGAAAATTTGACTTTAAATTTGCCTAGAAGCAATAAGACCACATTTCCAATGGATAAAAAGAATATTTCGGTTATATATATGTATGTAATTGCAAATAATATTTATTAAAAATTATAAAATAATGAAATTATAATATCATAAAAAATAAACAAAACTAGTTGATAAATGATTAAAGGAAATGATAAAGGATTTTCACGAAAGCAAAGTACAATTGGCAATAAAAACATTTTACTTTAAACAAGTACAGTATATGTAATAGTAGGAATTGTTAGAATGTTTCAGGAGTAGAAAAGCAAATATAATTTGTAGTTAAGTAAGGCAAAGAAAATATTTTATTAAAAGTGTAATACATTTAAACAGATTTAAATTGTTGTAAAGGCTTTTATATAAATGTTAAAAGTTACGAAAATGTTGTCCTTAAATGTAAAAACTATAATAATAACAAAACAGAAACAAAAACAAAAAAAAAACAATGATTATATATGTATACATATGCATTCATATATATATACATATAAATATTGATACAAAAAGAAATCTATAAAAAGTTGTCTCTATATAATCTTTTTTAATGTATTTTAAGAAATAGATTATAATATATTTTAAAAAAACTTATACTTATTAAATCGTAAATTGCAGGATCAAAACTCATCCTTATACAAATAAAAATCAACAAAAGAAATTTAAACTTTACTTCTTTTCATTGTTTATCTTCCTCTCGATTTATCAAATATTTATGCATGATTTTATTTTATTTATTAAACAATTCATCTAATCTATCTATCTTGTTAAACATTTTGTACAGCTATTAATTATTTTTTTAACCAATTTAAATTCATAATATACAGTAATCCCCTCTATAACGCGGTACTCTTATAACGCGTTTTCATATACCACAAATTCAATCCCCCGTATAACACGGGCCGTCCCCCATATAACGCGGGGATTTGTACAGTTCATATTTAGCTTCGCGTACCTTTGCACGTGTGTATACGGGAATACCCCTATAACGCGGAATCAATCTACTGCGTTATACGGGAGATTACTGTATCTCCATTTTTTGGGGTTTCTATATAACCTTGTGCTATGACTTTTCTGTTATTTTTATATAGAGCAGTTATACACTTACCCAGTTTTAATTATTTTTTTCGAATATATAAAAAATTATTGGCTTTCATACAGTTTTTCAAGAAAAAAAAACACCTTCCACCTTTCAAGAAATAATGACTTCAACTGATTTGCTTATATATATGTATGCAGTTCCTAGGTCTGTTACTAGCTGAAACACATTACTACCAATACACTAGGTATGAGCTCTATTCTCAGTATTTTAAAATCTATTGTAAAGCAGTACGAATTAAATTTATTATTGTTTTTTAATAGTTTTTATTTAATTTTGTGAATTATTTCATTTAAGACCTCCAACCCTACCCTTGTAGGGTTTACATTTTAAAATGGAAGGTTAGAGTTCATGATCGAGTTCACATATATGGACATATATATATCGCAATAGCTTGCAGTATAAGTATTTTCAATGTGCAAAAACTTTATTATTATTGTTTTTTTTTTTATTCTAATATTTTTATATTTTTAAATAATTATTTAAAATACTTTTTAACGAAAATAATTTTTTTATAAAAATATTTATTATAAAATTAAATTATTATTCATAACATTGGTTAAGTATTGCGATAATTATAACTGAAATTAAATTTACCGAATGAATGAACTCTAAATTATTATTATAAAAAATGTTTGTTTTTGAAAATGATTATTATTAACTTGTTATTTAAAACTTTTATTTAAAATTATTATCACTACAAACTATTTTTTATAATAGTATTAATAATTATTGAAAATTAGTTATCATAAAAAAATTTTTCACATAAGCTGTTAAAATAATTAGTGTTACAAAAAGTTAAATAATTTCATTATGTGATAATTTTAAATAATTTTTATCAAAAATAGTTTTTATTGTATTATTTTTATTATTTATATAATAAATAAACTAAATTATTATTATTATTTTTATTATTGTTATAAATATTATTTTTATTCTTATTACAATTATAATTATATTATGATCACATTATTTTTCATTTTTTATTTGTTGTAGTGAGGAAGTGGAATGCTTTATACACCGTCAGAACGACCGTTGTCGAAATAATGTGACCGACTCTTTAACATTAATATGTTGCATATAGACTACAACTCCCTCTCTTCGGCGAAACTTATTCCCCCTCGCAATCGTTTTCGCATCACTTCGAGAAGGGTCTCTTTAATATCAGCATTTCAAGTCATGCTCTTGTGATTATTAAAGTGCATCCAGACTTTCTTGGTGTCTGCACTATTTATTAGACTAGTTTCTGATACTCCTCTCTAAGCCTAATTTCTACGCTTTGAGGACTTAAATCACATACGACTCTAATGATCAAATCTGAGCTATTATCTTTTCTCTAAATGTAAACCACCTATTACAGTAAAAGAAGCTGTGCTCTGCACACCTCGTCACAATCTTCGTCGCCATTAATGCAGTCGGGCACATCCGCCTTTCCATTGCGGTACAGGTAATTTGCAAAAATATTTATGTCCGGTCAGTGTCTGAGTGAGATAGTAATTTGTGTTTCTCGAGCTAGGTGATTAAATTTTATATATACTCTTTGGCGCGCCTTTGCTTGAAGATCAATTAGAGCTACAACTGCTATTACAAAACTGGGTTCCCCGAAACAGTGAGATATGCAAATAATGCTCACATTATATAAAATATATATATTTAAGACCACTCTATATGTAATGCAGTCGAAATGTTATAACATATATACAAATTTTTTGTATTGAACTTTACTTATTTAACCGCTCTTTTTCAATAGTCGATAGTGATTTCGAGATGATGATAATCATCGTACTAAAAGTCATCGAAGGTTTTACTAGAAGATAATGATCAAACATTTTGTTTTTTTCTCTGAAGTAATCAGTGCACTATTTAATTTTGTCATGTATAAGTAAAGTTAATAACAATTATCTGCCGATTTCTAGAAAGTATACACAATTCTTACAATAATAGATTGTAATAGATTATAACCTGATCTATGTAATTCAAAGCGAAGAATCATTTTGTCAAGAAAATTTATTAAGGTTTGAAAGCCAATAATAAAGTAATCAACTTGTTATATATATTTATTTCACCAATTTAAATAATAAAATAAGGTTTAAATGTAAATTAAAAAATTTTCCATGATAATAAATATATATATATATCAGCATTACACTGTACCTTTTCCTTTCATAGTTACATTTGCAAATGATATTATTTTAAATAACAACGATTTTCTAAACATTTGTTTCAATATTAAAATATATTTGTTTTAAGATTAAATAATAGAAAAAAAACATTTCATAAACAATCATTATAATGCAAACACAGTTGACTTTATATTA